GCGGGAGGTGGAGGTCTAAGATAATAAAATAATATACTCCTGGTTCAGTTGACGGATTTGCAACCGCTATGTCTGGGGTTTAAATCCCGATTTAGTTTTAGATAGGTTTTACGGCGCTCATAATTTAACTGCATTAGGTGATATGAGCGCCAAGGGGTAGATGTCAAATGAGAAGTCCAAACGAGGAATCAGGCTTACTCCGCTCAACTCTCTAGCTTCAACAGCACAAAGTCTGCTTCGACTATCAAGGCACCCCGGAAATAGCTGTTGAAAAGAGAGTGACAAACATAAAAAAGAAGTAGAGGAAAATGACGATAGTAAAGATGAGGAAAGCAAAAGCAGCACATCTCCGTATGCTGTTCCGGCACAGAATGAGCATGGCATTGATAAATCTGCCCATTTTCAATTCTACTGTGAAGGAGAACATGTTAATATCCCCATGTGCTTTCTTGGATGTTATTAACACAGGGCACGCTCATCGTCTGAGACAGTGACAGTGTTAATGTATGAGTGCTTGTGAAATGGCAGCAGCTCGGATTGAGTGCTTCAAACGAAGCTGAGATTTGCAATTCTTTGTCACACAGTTTCTCGGGATGATGGTGCACTGTAAAGCGACTTGATACCTGAAAAAAGATGTTCTTATTTTGATGTTTTTATTTTTCAGGATTGGATTCATGTTTATAAACGTTGTTTCGAGCTACTGTGAATGTTTGTTATATGTCCGTGTAGAATGTGGCATCAGGTGAAATTATATTATATCTAACATTCTCAAACTGTTTAATTTGTTTCATCTTTTCACCTTTGCTTATAAGATTACACGTCGGGTTTACTGATAATGGTTTTTAGATAGGAATATGTTTTCTGATTTCTTCACTTTCAGCAATAACCCAAATATCATTTTCCTTTGATTACTACTTTTACTTTACTTTTAACTGTTTCATCCTCCGTTGCCGTTAAGCGTCGAGGGGGGATGCAGTTTTCTATGGTAGGCTAGCTCCGCAGGTCTTTCAGTTGTGATGTTATGTTTTTTTAGGGTTTCCTTGACACCCTCAATCCACCTTTTGGGTGGCCTTCCTCTTCCTTTATAGCCTGAGTGCTTGGTGTTGTAGGCTCTCAAGGCTGGCTGGTCAGGTGACATGCCTTTGATACAGATACAAAAATCTAAGTCAGACACCAGGATAAAACATACATTTATCCCCCTTCCCACACACTCACACTTGCCCGTACACACACACACATACACACACACACACACACACAAACACACACACACACACACACACACACACACACACGTGAGCACACTCAGACGTGTAAACATTTCCCTCAGTTCCCTAAAACAACCATATCGTATTTCATTAATCCTGCAATGACGAACTCATTTGGGTCTTTTTAAAGCTTCATTTCATGTTCTTGGCCTTCCATTTCAGCAGATATTATCAGATTTAAAAAAACAACAAGAAATCAAAAACAAAATCAAAACAAATCAAGAAACTGTCGCTATCAGGCAGGTTTCACGAATGACGTTTTTCGCTTATTTCTGTAGCCAATCATCGAGAAGATAAGCTGTTCTGCTCAGCTCTACAGCCGGCATTCATTAAATTCCTCATAGGAGTCCGCTGGATTTGATTAGAATTTCTTTCACAGTAATATGCCAGCGATTCGATTGGCTTTCATTCAAATCAACGCAAGAAGTTTGGAGATGCATATCACACACACGACGCTTAATGGAATCTTTTTTTTTTACCTTGTCGCGCGTGTCAATCTTCACCCGACTCTCTCTCTCTCTATCATTAACTCTCTCTCTCTTTCTTTTCTCTTTCTCTCTCTCTTTCTCTTTTTATAACTCTCTCTCTCTCTTTCGCTCTCTCTCTCTCTCTCTCTCTCTCTCTCTCTGTCTCTCTCTCTCACTCTTATCCTATCTCTCTTCCTCCACGTCCTCCCCCATCGCCCCCTCTTTTCTTTCGACATCTGTCTCCTTCTCTCCTCTCTACATATCTCTCTTCCTCTTCTCCGCTTGCTCTCTCTCTCAACCCCGTCTTTCTTTCATGCAGTTCCAGCCAGTTTATTTCTATATATGTCTGTCCTTCTGTCTGTCTGTCTGTCTATCTGTTTGTTTCTCTCTCTCCCTTCCTCTCTATCTCTGTCTCTCTCTTCCTCTCTCTTTCCGTCTCTCTCTCTCTTTCTCTCTCTCTCTCTCTCTCTCTCTCTCTCTCTCTCTGTGTCTCTCTCCCTCTCTCTCTCTTTGTATTTTTCTTTCTCCTCCCACTAAATCAATCTTTTTCCTTCCTGCCTCTCTCTCTCTCCACCATCTCTCCCTCCATCTCTCCCTCCATCCCTCTCTCCCTCCCTCCTTCTATCTATCTATCTATTTATCTATCTATCTATATATCTATTTATCTATCTATCTATCTATCTATCTATCTATCTATCTATCTATCTATCTATCTATCAAAACTTCCTTGCCCTCTGTCTCAACACATCTCATTCTTTCTCTCTCTATGTCTTTGCAAACTTTGAATTCTGTCAAAAATGTCAAAGCAACTCCCACAAAAGGGCATCCCCGAGATCAGTAGGTCACTATGACGTCACAGACCCAACGTCAGCAACCCCCCCCCCCTCCCCAACTTGTCATGGGTGTCATCGTGAAGAAATAAGACACCTATGAAAATAACAAAAATCCCACATAAAAGAAGGCTATTCCATGAAGACGACAGGAAGTGTTTGAAAAGGTAAAAAAAAAAAGTGTAAACCACACCATATCACCCGCCATTGAAAAATAAGTTTTAATTTTTTTATAAATGTAATCTTTGTAGGTTTTGTTTTTTTTGATTCACGCACGGTGGTTGGTTGGAGGGTGCCACTGACAGCATGATGCTACCTTTTTTGCTTTCCGCCCTCTGTGGTTCTGAATGCTTGTTTGGCTTGCTCAGTATACTGAGTTACCTATCATTGTGTCGATGTTCTTTTCACCTCACAAAACTGGCTCATTGACTTATTGGCTAGTTTTTTAAGGGATAGGTAAGTTTTTTGTTTTTTTTAAATTGCGATCGTCGGTGATTTTCTTGTTTTTTGCTTGTTTGTTTTCAGTTGGTTATTTTGTTGGTTAGTTGGTCCGTTGTTTGTTTGTTTATTTGTTGGTTACTCGTGTGGGTGGTTGGCGAGTGCTCTAGAGTGGTTTTCTCTTTATTTCCTACCAAACCTCTATCGTCCTTATCTCCCTTCCTTCTTTTTATGTTTGTCACTCTCTTGTAACACCTCTATTCTTC